TATACGACTGGATGCCAACAAACCCCTCGGTTCTCGTCTCTATGGCCTTGAAGCTCAACAAGACTGGTTCTTGCACTTTCGACGATCTCCTGGTTGACACTTCTGGCGACGAATCTAAGTCACCGCTTCGCGTACACCCAGGGACGAGGACTCTTCGACGTAGACAGGAAGAAACCAGCGTTCCGACAGACCTCAGGCCCACGCCTGCGCCGACAGGTACGCCGAGTCTGGACACGACGGTCCATGTCACGGATGAGCATAATTTTGCTCTGCTTCTCCCGGGCAGATCTGGAGGTACGCGCGATTCCACCGGACTCTAGAGCATGCCACACATTTTACCAACGTGCATCGCAGAACTGGTATCGGACGCTGAAAGTGATGGTGTCTCCTTTTGTACTCCCGCGAGCGGTGACTCAACCTGCGCCGGACGACGCATGGTGGAAGGATTCATTGTCGCAGCAGCCGTTAAACATGCTGATGATGGCTCCTGGATTCAAGTAGGTCTCGGCTCGCACATCATGGCTGTGGCCTGCTATCATGTTCATATCCGCCTATTGATAGGTAACCGGCTGCATCGACCCTACAAAGTCTTCACTCGACCCCTCGGACACGGGGGGCCAGATGGATGTGCGTTTCCCTAACGGTGCTCAATGCACGTTCGGTGGATATGGCGCAAGCTTTATTGAGTTGTTCGTGCTATGCATTCTGCTCGTTTACGTTGCACTAATGCGTCCTCTCTCTTTCCACGTTGCGTCAGAATCGAGCCCGCGACAAACCGGTTCTGTCTACGTTGCTGCGCCTCCGCAAATGATCAGGTCAATTGCAATTCGCACAGAGACCGAGAGGGGTGTCCGAATGCTATCCCTGGAACATACGATTTCCCCGAGCTCGGTGCCAGTTGCTCGTAACGCGCCTTTGGGTGGACTTCCCCGCGCCCTCCGATAGTAGCCGTTCCCATGTCCACCATCCTTGTGAATCCTTCTCGCCGACGACATTGCGTCATTTCTAAGCCATCGCATCACGAAACTCCGGCCTGGGCTTCTCTTCTGGCTTTGTTCTCTTATCTCTTTCGTCTCGTTCTCGCGGCCTTCGGTTGTCATACGATAAGCAGCAGCGTGTCTGTCTCTCCTATATATGGAAGCTGTGTTTCCGAACTGCGTTATCCCCGTAGACTTCAGGGGCAAATCTGAATTGTGGTTACATCGTGCGATAACTGGTATATTATAGTACGGGCTAAAGCTGCGTACAAGGGCATGGGTATGTAAGTACATGTATCCTATAAGTGGCGATGACATCCGAAGGAACCTAGAGCTAAAGAGATGTGATAATGTACAGAGTCCGTGCATGTCGAGTGAAAACTAGGGGCATTGACCTATGGTACATGAGCATAACAAGTCATGAGGGCGCGACGAGAGCGCATCAAACAGCCAGAAAAAATGAGAGCGATAGCATAGCAAGCACGCAACCAGCGATTTTGATGGTCCAGTATCAAACCGGACGCGAGAAACAAGAAACGGGGATTGACGAGAAAGGCAGGCTTTACTTTGAAAAGATAAGCTTGCCAATTCCAGCGCTTTTGTCGACCTCGACGCCGACGAGCTTGGTCTTCTCACCAAGCCAGTCTATCCGACGCACACCGCTGCGGCGTTCCATGTTCATCCGCTCACAACGCGCCTCGAAGCGTTTTGCAACCTTCTTCTGCGCACTGCCGAGGGCCTCCCACTCCTCGGGTGTTATCGGTGTCCAGAGCGTCGTGTGCACAGCATGCAACACGTCGAGGATCGTGATGGAATTCCCGCTCCCACCCCGCCCGCTCTTCGGCGGACCGATGGTGAATCGCGGGCCCGCGCCAGAGACGATGACCGGCCATGGGAACTTCTCCGAGCGGAGGATAAGCTTTGAGGAGGAAGGTGTGGGCGGGTCCGTCGCAGGTTGAGCGAGGGTGTGCGCGGGAATCGCGCTGTGTGTCGCGCGGTCGAGAACCGTCCTCGCAGATGGCGAGAACGAGACGTCATACGTAATCGGTGCGCGATGCAACCGAGTGTACGCGAGTAGCGGGTGCATGTGCAAGGCTCCTTGGCGTGGGTGGACGTACGCCGTTGGCTGCGAGTGTGTCCGGGACCGGCCGTACGAGCCGACTGTCCCAACAAGCGTCGGTTATTGTTTAGTGCGCGGAGAATCGTAAGCGACTTACATGAGGATGCGCTCGCCACACTGCCAGCTGTCTGCCAGCTATTGTTTGACGTGAGAGGAGGCCGGGTGTCTGCATACGTGACGTGCGGATGGTGGTGCCCGCTGTCCGATCTCGACGACCCGTAAGGTGCACTGCTCATAGTCGTAAACATTGACGAGTTCGAGTTAGATCTCGAGCTGGCTGGTGTAAAACCTCCAGCCGAGGTGTATATGGGAGCTACAGGAAATAATGTATGAGCTCGAGCCTTGTGAATGTTCGGAGGAAATACGTACCAGTTCCTTTGGGATTGGTGCTTGCTCGCTTGAGGACTTGTGGCCTTAGGTCAGCATTGTGAGAGCTTGAGCTACCCCGCCTGCCGTAGCCATATGCGGTCCTCGTATCAGGCGTGGCGGTTGCATACCGAAGGGGAGAGGGTGCAGCGGAATGCGAAGTTGAGTAGGTGTGGGCCCTACGCGTCTCTGGTCGGGAAAGCGGGACACCTGTCGGGGTGCCGGGCGCTGCTGCATAGATGTTATGTGGAGCAGACTTGGAACGAGAGTGCGATGATTTGGCCGAAGTCTGATTACTGCTGGAGCCGCCAAACCAATTGCGAAATACCGACGGCATTGTGGAGAGGAGAAGTTCGCGTAACTGAAACAATCGAGATCGGTCGTGGAGTAAAGGTCGTACAAAGGTCGTGAACAGTTTGAGGCGTACAACTACGGTTGTGGAGGGACGTGGTCCGTCGTACTTGAAGCTTGAAGTGGGGTGGGGTAGAGGATGTGAACAAGACCGGGGCTTTATACGACAGAGGAGCGAATCGCTCTGGACTCGTATTAGGACCGCGAAACACAGATCGCGGGGCCTGCAGAAATTCTGGACTCTCTTCGCCCGGGGGAACCCTGAAATGATGCATGGCATAGCATCAAAGTCCTAGCGTGTAGCAGCAGGGACAGCCAGACCGCAGTGGCCGGGCTGCATCTGGCACAGTGGTCACTAGATGTGTCAGGGAATACAATTTCCCACCGCCTCGCAGCCGGTGAAGCGTCGACCTATTCAGTTGGAAAAGGGAAACAGAACCAGGCATAGGCTTTGGACAGCTGTTAGGTAAACGTCGTGTGATAGGCGACGCTATGACCGCTGTAGCCATCGGTCTTTGATTTCGAGAACGCAGACAATGTGCCGCGTGTTGGGGGCGTGGCCGACCGTTTTGGGGCCGAGTATAGGACGCTGTACCTGTCCGACGCAGAATCCCGCCTGAGGCGCGCAGCACCGCCGCACGTTCAGTCAGAGTGCAAGGAACCGTGAGGTCACCTAGGCCAAAATCACATTCGCCGACTGCGTTTCGCACCTTATCGCGAGATAACCAGGGCATTAGCCCAGCAGCAGGTGCGTAATGATCTGCAGTAGAGCAAAGCAGGACAAAAGAGATACGCACGGTGAGGAACAAGGACGCGCATACTGGGATGCAACGCTACACGGTTGCTTCCGGCCGGCATTCACACACATCGCTGCCTGGAGCGATACGATCACTATTTGCCAATAGAATTGCATCAGGTCGTCGGAAATGAGATACAGATCCCTGATCTGCGGTATGCATTTCTGAGCTACACATACGTACACTAGATTCTACCGCCGGCGATGCATGCGGTTCTCCCACTTTGTCCCTTCTCCGAGGGGACACGGAGCAGTCACGAAGGGCAGCCAGATAGTAGGTACATCGGTATGCACTGCATGCGAGACTTGACGGCTGTAAAAACACGTCGTGTGGGCAAGTCCGAGAAATCCTCAAGCCTCAGAGCACAGGAACGTTGGGGTGCGCACCAGAATTCCAGACGCTCGGGGATCGGTGTCGCAGCTGCCAGCAAACAAGGGAGCGATATTCCAGGCCTTAGAACGCAAAACTGTCGCATCGGAGAAGAATGGCCTAAAGCCGTCATACCCCGGCATGCACAGCTAGACGAGTATAGCGAGGTCACACTACACGCACACGCAGCTATCCTGACTCTAAGCGGCGCGGTCTAGCCCAACGACAGAAGTGAAGTTCTCTCGGAGCGCAATCTAGTTACCGCAGCAAACGTTTGGGGTGCAAACTGCGCCTGCAGTAAGCGGGACCTGACCGCAAGGAAGAGGCGAAGGAGTTGAAAATGAGGGAATGTGGAGTGTTCCTTGCGCTTTGCTGAACACGATTTAACGAGCTCCATGCTCTAGACCAGCCGAGAGGAGCTGCTGGGTGCGACGACAGGCTAGACTTGTTCATCGAACAGTAAACCTTGATGACGGGGGAAACATTCACCAGCTCATGAAAGGCAAATCAAGTTCTTCCCCAGCAGTCTGTTCCGACGATCCCATGTCGTACGAGGATACAACCGGAAAACGCGCTGGCAGAAAGCAGTTGAATCTTTACTAAGGCAGTGAACTGTTGGATATGGTTTCACCCGAAGTGTCCACGCTGCAACGCAAGAGGTGGGGAAGGAGCCCCTCCACTCTAGCAAGTGAATGAAAATTGGACGTAAGTTTCGCACCTCTGAAGTTAATCAACGCAGGACTCACCTCTCCATGAACAAGAGATCTCAGCGGCGGGATCATGATATACATCAGAGAGGGTCCTCACCGCTGTGAACGTGAAGCTCGGATTTCTGTGTCTGCCAACGGCCCCTCCAAGTGGACACTCTCAACTCTACTACTCCATGGCGAGATCGCGCCTCATGACTAACGTGCTTGAACGTACACATGGTGAATCACAGCATGCACACTTACGATCTACTTCCCAGACCCTGAGCTTCAGTGTGGCCGAATACTTCAGCCTGGATGTCCAGAGGATTGTTGAAGCTGGCCAGACGTTACGGGTGCGGGAATTGAGGGCAATTTACACCAAAATAGCATAAAGGAGCTGAAATGCGACGTACAGCTGCAGGCAATAGCTGACACGCTGCCGAAGGCAGTGTTAAACGGCCCGTACTTCACCCCCGTGGTCGATGCCCGCTAGGCCCACGAAAGCACGTTGGAAATAATGCTACAAAATGACTAGCGGCCAAAAAGAAGCGAGAAGGCGTGCTCACCTGCAGTACTGATCATGGATGCAGTACGTCCGAGAACTGCTCGAGATCGAGTGCGGACGTGCACATACGCTGTGAAGGATGTTTCATGCTTTTACCATACGTCAAAGCGTTAGCCGGGCATGCTCTACTAGCCATTATGAGATTCACCACTCCAGGGCTAGGGGCTTCTTCGCTCGGCATGCCTCGTATTCATCAAATCCTTCCTCCTTGCGCCGCAAATAGTAAGATTGACCGCATAAATCTCTCGGGGAGAGGGTCGGCGAGAACAAGGCAGGACAAGCAGCAGGGATGAAAAGCAATCAACGGCGGAGATGACCTAGAGACAAAGTGCATCACATGGGTATCAGAGGATGCTTCGTAGCTGTAGAAATGCGTGCACAGAAGGGGTTGCCGGAGATATTCGATGAAAATTTGGGGTGGCTGGTGCTGAGAAGGCTAGGATCGAAAGCAGCTCGACGGCCGAGCCAGGAAAAAGTTCAGGGTATCGCTCCAAAGACCATGTATCTGCCTCAGGGGTTAGGTAGGTATGACTTCCTGGGTGGCAGAGGTGGACGTTGACCGTCGCCGCGAGCTCCTAGTGACTACGGCTTTCCCACGCTTAGTTGTCGCCATTCAGCGCCCGAGAATTTACTAGCGAGCCTCACTTACTTGATTTTAGACCTCTTCAGACCTCCCGACCTGGACGTTAACGAACCCCATCCCTCGTTCCTTCTTCGCCGGCAAGGCCACAGAGAGCGCATTAAAGACTGTCGTGGTTGTTGGATTGGGGATCTGTGCAGAAATGCTGTCGATAGCATCGTACGTCTGTCATTCCGCCGATTTTTCTCTTCGCGCTATGCCTGATCTCGGGCCCAGAAAACCACACTTGTAGAATCGGACATGCTCGCGGCACATCGTATCTCACCTGTTCCATCCTAAACCCCATTTCTCCTGAATGTAAGAGCATGTCTCTCAAAGTTTCGCGCGCGGCAACTGCAACTTGGCCAAGGTTCGGCATCTAACTGTGGAACGTCGACGTCATCCTGCCGTGCCTCTGGTACGATCGAGAGATCACCTGTGACTTGGACTGCACTTACCACCTGCGAATATGCATAAGTTCGTAGACTCGCTCAAAAACAAACTCCATGGCCGTGGCGAAGCACAAGAAGGGCCTGGTGTACAGGCTGTCCTACAAGACATACCCTCTGGGTTCCCGTCTCCCTCGGACTTCTTCCGATATCGCAAGCAGCGGGGAGTTAATCTCGGTGAGGATCCACACCTTGCAGAACATTGCATTGCTTCCGACGATACCGCACCAGGATCGTGGTTCGTTCTAGAGCGATGGATCGCTGAATCCCCTTTCCACTCCGCGACACCTCCAGGACAGAGCGACCATGATGTTGCCCGGGGTCCCCAAGCCAAAGAAGTACTAGAGCATCACTGGGACACCTGGATCACTGAGCAAGACTTCGCTTGGATCGCCCAGAGAGGATTCAATGCCGTTCGGCTCCCAGTGCGTAATACAAGAGCTACTATTCTTAACATGAATTGACCTTCTCCCGCTAGATCGGATACTATCATCTGTGTGGAGTCGATCCTTCGGTGCTGAAGGGAACAGACTTCGAGAATCTCGGGGATGTCTATCAAGGAGCTTGGTCGAGAATTACAAACGCTATACAAACCGCGAACGGCTATGGGCTTGGCGTACTCATTGGCGAGTCTTTCGGCCGTATTTCGCCTTCCCCAAGCTGAAGATCTTAACTAGATCTACATGCGGCACCTGGCAAGCAGAACCGTGACGCTCACGCTGGGACGTCGGGGGAGCTGCGCTTCTACAACAAAGCTAATAAACAGCATACTATTTACGTGCTAACCGTGCTCGCTGGTCACCTGAGCAGCTTGTGTAGGTCATCTGATCCCGCTCTCCCGAACATCCTGGGGATAGAGCTCTTAAATGAACCACAACATGATCCTTCCTTGGATCGCTGGTATCTAGATGCCATTCGTGCAGTACGATCGGTGGACCCGTCGATCCCTGTGTACATCGGAGATTCCTGGATGACAGACCAATACGCAAACTTCATCGAATCTCATGCCAACACCATACCCTTTACCGTCCTCGATCACCACCTGTACCGGTGCTTCACCCAGGACGACACGAGCACCTCTGCTTCCCAGCATGCTCACAATCTCCGAGATCCCAACGCGGGTACACCCCAAATATTCGCACGTGTATCACAGAAACTACAGGGTGCCGGTGGTGCCCTGGTGGTTGGCGAGTGGTCAGGTGCTCTCAATCCCGGGTCGCTTCGGGGCATTGGCGACGACACTGGCGTCCGGCGAGAATACCTCGCGGCCCAGCTTGCGCTTTATGAGCAGTACTGCGCTGGATACTTTTTCTGGACGTATAAGAAGGAACAACCAGGCGACAAGGGTTGGTCTTTGAGGGATGCCGTGGCAGCCGGAGTGTTTCCGTCTCGCGTTGGACTTAGCAAGAGGGACGTCGTGCTTCGGGACGACCCGCAGCAAGGCGCGCGCAGGGATTACACACGGGATCAGGCGCTAGGTGCGTCCATCGGCACGCGGAATCCGCGTTGTACTGACGTTCTGTGAAGCACAGCATAGCGGATACTGGTCACAACACCCTGGAAACTACGAACACTGGCGGTTTGGCGAGGGATTCGTACGAGGCTGGGACGATGCGTGGATATTCTTCAGGAGTGTGTCGGTGCTTCCACCTGACGCGCCGGTACCGGAGCTAGGTTTCACAGGACCATGGGTGAAGATAAGAGTTCAGGAGCATGTTGCAGCAAAGGGTAACAACAGCGTCTGGGAGTTTGGTGCGTGCGGCAGGTTGGCAACGGCGAAAGCCATAAACTCACGCTCCGTCTCACAGAGCATGGTTTCAACCAGGGGGTACTAGCTGCTCGGAATGACCTCGCAAATCTCCAGTGAAGTTCCGGTAACCTTGCCAGCGCAACGTGCAGGGTCCCAGCCACGATGGGCCGGGTTGGGCGTTCTGAAGAAAGGGTACCTCGATAGCGTGCCTTGTTCCGTGGCTTCTACGTTGAGGATCGGTGGAGATTATCATATGCTTGCGAAGTTCATATTGTGCTGCATGCGCCCCACAGTCATACCTAATGATGAAGTACTTGCTATTATTGTCGACTATCGAGGAGTCACCAAGAGCACAAGCTTGCGTACGATCCAGGTATAGCATTATTGTCTGACGCCCGTATAACTCTTCCTTTCACGTCGTAGTGACTGAAAGAGCTGTCCGGCCGAGCTCTGGTGTGCATGGAGACAGGCTTGCACCCGCGAAGCTTATGTATTGCATGCAGGACGCTGAGAAGCACAGGTTTGGAACAAAAGAGCCGAGATGAGGTGGTGCGGACACTAAGCGACGCCGGTCTTGCTGTCTGTCGTCCACTACTACGTGTTGGCTGGGGCTGGTGACAGTACTTATACACCAGGTGCGAGAAACAGAAGGGCTTTCCCGTCACCCTATTCCCGGCACAGCGCACGCGAAGGCCTTCTGCTACCTGGCAAATCCGTGACAACCTCACAGCCTTCCCCTCTACGCTCATCGACCGACAATGGAACCACGGACCAAGGCGCACAAGCATGATCGCATTGCTGAATGGGTGGAGCAGCAGTCTGCGATGAGGTACTCGCCCCGATCGTACGATCCCCCACCCAGGATCACCATCCCCGCCCCCAGCAGCGTCAGCCGGACTGGTTCGAGCTCAACGCGCACGACGTCTTTCTCCGAACAATCGTCTGCAGGGCCATCCACGCTCAAGAGACGTGCTGTGCCTCCATCTCCGAGCCACACAAACCCAATATCAATGACGGTTGCGCCCGCACCGCCCCACGAGCAGCGGACGCCGCCATTCCCGCAGAGTCCCCCGGGATCGGGATACCCGATGGCCATGGAGGTGGCATCGCCTCGGGTGGAAACACCTAGGGTAAGCACAAGTTATTTGTATGAAAGTGGTTTACATGCCACTGACGGGGACCTCGGTACGTAGCCCACAAGGCCGTCACTGCTGAAGAAACGACGTCCGTCAGTTGCGGAGCAAGTGAAGTCGTTTGGATCGAACAATGTACCGTGGAAACGAGACGAACCCACAAACCAATAGGCCTGCTGTTATGAAAGCGTGCGTCGACCATGATAGCTTGAAAGTTGGCGATGCTTTGACCGAGATCATCCAGGCCAATGTAACGTCGGCGCTATCTTCTCTTCGCAATGTCTCAGCATTTACAGCTGCTTTGTTCACTAAATTATGGCGCACATGTATTCGTTGTTGAGCGGCATTGAGTATCTGGACTTAGCCGAGGACTGGATGGGACTCTTGCCGCTCGGACTGTAACTACTTCGCCGGTTTGAGTAGCATGTACGGTACTTGTACTAGTGTTTTAGTGTCCAAAAACCAGAAGTGACACACTCCCCACGACCTTCAAGGAAGGCTAGATGCTTACAATATACTCATCGGTGTGGTAGTGTAAAAATGTTCCGAGCAAGGTACATCCATCGTTGCCCTGTAAACACGTTCTCGTAATGGATATTGTGTAAGATTTGAGCCGCTTTGAGCGCTTCTTGCTACATCATGCTCTCTGCGATGACGCTCTGAACCGCCATGTCCTTGCAATGCTTGCATCCAATATATGTCATTTGAACCCTGCACAAGCCTCGAAGTAACCCCCAATACTCCCTGCACAACTCCAGACCTCGGATTCTGAGAAGTGCGTTTGGTATTCTTCGCTGATACACGAGGCAGGCTTGGGTGCCTAGAGTCTAGAGAGGTGCGGGAACGATCAGTGACTGCATCTCTTAACTCGGACAGACCAGTTAGCACACACCGCGTATCCCGTTTTCAGGACCGCAGCTGTACCAGTGGGCGGTTTACTGACTGACATGTACCAAACGCTGTGCCTCCGGTGCGGGACACTCGGTTTGGCCATACCGACTGCCAATGCACCGCATCGCCGCCCTTTTGTACTATGACTCGCAGCCGCCCCGTCGGGTCCCTTAAAGGCGTCGGCGTACGCGTACAATCCTTCACACATTTCATCCTCCCTGATGCCTTTCTTTAGATGCTGTCGCTCCTCATCTCATCTGTGTCGCGTCTGCCCGCCTCGACCCTCCGCTATCGTACGTGATCGACCAAGGGTTAAAGCCCTTCTTATCGGCATCGAGTACAAGTCCGGCAAACACGACGTCGACGCATTGAACTACATCCTTCGGGATCTTCACAGCTTCAAAGACTATCTCACGAAGAGTGCAGACTGGCCAGAAGGCACCATTACACTCATGTTTGAAGGCGCGGACGATCTGCTGGAACCTTCACGAGAGAACATTGTGTGTGATAATCTTATTTGCACAGCCCCCCGATACTGACCATGCACTAGTTGACACAGATCCGTCGCCTCGTGGAGAATGCGCAACCAGACGATCTCATCGTCTTCTTATGTAGGATACCACCCTTAGTAACGTTTCTCCACAGAGAGATGAACCATTTTCTAGACTTAGGCCATGGATGTCAAACTCTGAACGAGACTGGAACGGAGGCAGATCGTTTGGACGAAAGTATGTTACGCTCGTCATCTCTCGAGGACAAACATGTGATGTAGTGCACCAGACATCCTTACAAGCAATCACGCCGGCTGGCCACAGGATAAGAACGGGGGCAAGTTACCTACTCGACGCGCCTGTGATCTTGCTTGCGACCACCCTTACTATGAGAAGTATCGGGGTGTTATTTCGGACAACGTACGTGCAGCACACTTCAGACTTAGAGGTGATACTGACGACTAGATGTGTAATAGGAGCTTAGAGAGCTGTTAGTGAATCCTGTACCGGCTGGTGCCCAGTTGCTTGTACGTACCATGGAGCTAAGAGCGTAGTCCCTGTTAAGTATGTGGTTAATAGGCATTCATTGAGACATGTCATTCGGAGACTATGCTTGGTGAGAATCTTGATTTTGCAATCGCTAGGAAGTATACTCATTTTTACAGACCTAGACTCCTCTCGATGGAAGCGCAAATGCGCGCGGGCGCTGTCTAGTATGTCTGAATGGCAATGTCATGGCATCTCAATCCTAACCACCGCATTAGGAATCCCATCCGCATACGACCAGGTTGTCAGATGCGTCCGCAGGACGAACTTCACCCGTCTATCATCCATGGATTGTAGGGCCAACCCCG